CTAGATCCCCAGAGGCCCAGAATCCCAAATGTGAAATAAAATAGATTTTAGGAAACTAATTTTTGGAAACTAATTAACTATAAAGCCCAAGCTCCAAAGCCCCAAAATAATCTACTCGTTACTCCTTAATTAATAAACTTACGAAGTACGAAGCACTGAAGCAAACGACTTCCCATAACTCCAGGAAGAAGAGGTCTCGCAGATCGCCCTCTCTACCTTGTCCCTCGCTGAAGCAGACGACTTCCCAGGTTCAGGCGTTCAGCTCTCTTCTCGATTTCTCATCTCATAGTTTCAATTTTTCAATATCTAAAAATTAGTCTATTTGATGGAGCACTCAACTTTTGCACTCATAAAAACCAAGTCAGTAGCTTCTCGATTTCTCATAATGACTAATGACTAATGAGTTGCTACTTGGTGAGTCATTGTTTATTTTTGAAATAAGACATTAGTTCATTATTTACTATTTAATATTCAGATTTTTAGAAAAAATGTTATTATTTAACATTATTTCCTTTTACAAAAATTAATATTTTCAATATTACTTGGTTGTTTTAATTATTAATTGTGGATTTCAATTCTAAGTTATGTATACATTTTAGTTAGTAATATATTATACATAATATATAATTAAATATATAATTATATATGTAAATATATAATTATATATATAATATATAATATAAATATATAATGTACACATATAGGTGACTAGTCGCCTAATTGTCGCCTAGGCGAGCACCTTGTCGCCTAGGCGATATGGCGGTCAGCTGGCGCCGCAACTCAACTTACTGCCATACAAAGATTAAGAAACTATCAAATTGCTCACCCATTGTATCATGTAGGGTTGGACTCGGGTCCGGGCCTGGTCCGGGTCGGGCCTAGGTCCGGGCGGGCCGGCGGTTCAAGAATGGTGGACCCGGGTACCCACCGGGTCCGGGCCGGGTCCGGGCCGGGCTGGGTCGGGCCTCCGGTTTGGATTTTTTTTTTTTTTGGCTTTCCTAACCCCACCCCCACCCCCACCCTCTCAAACACCCCCAAACCCATCCTACCCATCAAGCCCAACCCGGGTGGAACCCCAAAAATGAAAAAAAAATAAAAAAAAAATCAATTTGGCCCGGGCCTGGGCCCGACCCGGCCGGTTCACCAAAATTGAGACCCGAGCCCGGACCCGCCCTACCCCCCGGGCCTAGGCCCAACCCGGACCCGGACCCGGACCCGAGAACCGGGCCGGTCCCGGTCCCGCACAGTAGCGGGCCAGGCCGGTCCACGGGCCGGGTGGCCCGACCCGAGTCCAAGCCTAGTATCATGAGAAACGTATACCGAGCTGTACAGGACTAATTGCACGCCAAAGTGATGACCTGAAATTTATTTCACTTCACTTTTCCCGTTGTATGAGTATATGCAACTAAATCTGATTGCTTGATACATTTAATGAATTGCATTTGATTAACTACAACAACATCTAAGCCTTAGTCCCAAAAGATATTGGGGTCGGCTAACATGAATTGATACATGATATCACAACCAAAAGGAAAAGAAGGAATAAAGATAAAAAGATAAGCTATTATGAAAAGATAATATAAAAAAGATGAATATATATAGAAATGATAACATAAAAAGGCTGCAAATAATGCATATATATATATATATAAGGATAAAAAAAACTAGGAAAAAAAGATGAGGGGAAAAGATTATCAAGATCACTCCTTCACGTGAATACCCGCCCTCCACTTAGTTCTCTCCAAAGTCATGCCCTCATCCAACCCCAGAAGAAGCATATCACTTCGAACTCCCCTAACCCACGTCTGTTTGGGTCTTCCTCTCCCTCTCTTCCCTGCCTCTTCTCCACACATCTCAACTCGTCTAACAGGTGCATCACTCGGTCTTCTACGCACATGACCAAACCACCGTAGGCGCGACTCCCGCATCTTGTCTTCAATAGGTGCTACTGCCACCCTTTGTCTGATTGTCTCATTCCTCACGCGGTCTTTCCTAGTATGCCCACACATCCAACGCAGCATGCGCATCTCTGCCACACTCATATTTTGAATGTGACATTGTTTCACCGCCCAACACTCTACGTCATACAGTAATGCAGGCCTAATTGTTGTCCTATAAAATTTACCCTTCAGTCTAGTCGGCATACCTCGGTCGCATAGAAATCCTGACGCACTCTTCCACTTCATCCACCCTGTTCTGATTCTATGGGATAAATCTCCATCTAACTCACCGTCCTTCTGAATTATGGAGCCCAAGTAACGGAACATATCGCTGATTGGTATCTCCTTACCATCCAGAGTAATTCCGCTATTACCACTACTTCTACCTCCACCAAACTTGCACTCCGTGTACTCTGTCTTGCTTCGACTTAGTTTGAAACCCTTATTCTCCAATGTTTGTCGTCATACTTCCAACTTTGCTTTAAGACCTGATTGCGTCTCATCAATCAATACAATATCGTCGGCAAACATCATGCACCACGGTATATCGTCTTGAATTGACTTCGTAAGTTCATCCATGACTATGGCAAATAAGAAAGGACTCAAGGCCGATCCTTGGTGCACTCCGATAGTAATAGGGAACTCTTCATTCCTCCCTACACTAGTACGAACACTTGTAGTACAATCCTCATACATATCCATGATGATGCTGATATACTTGCGTGATATGCCTTTCCTAGTTAAGGCCCACCAAAGAACTTCTCGAGGTACCCTATCATATGCCTTTTCTAAGTCAATGAACACCAAATGCAGATCCTTATGAGCATCTCTATACTTCTCCATAAGTTGACGAAGAAGGTGAATAGCCTCAGTTGTTGAGCGACCAGGCATAAAACCGAATTGATTCTCTGAAATCTTCACAGACCTTCGAAGTCTTTGTTCAATCACTCGCTCCCAAAGTTTCATGGTGTGACTCATAAGCTTAATCCCTCGATAGTTGGCACATTCTTGTACATCACCTTTATTCTTAAATAAAGGGATAAGAGTACTCTTCCTCCAACTCGTTGGCATCTTGTTGTTTCTCCAAATCATGTTGAAGAAACTTGTTAACCACTTGACGCCTCTCTATCCCAAACTTCTCCAAGCCTCGATCGGTATGCCATCTGGCCCCATTGCTCTTTTCCGTCCCATCTTCCTCAGAGCTTCTTTAACTTCCGTTGTTTGGATCGTTCTCACAAAATCACGGTTAACCATACAATCTGGTATGGACAAATCGCCGATATCTTGCGTTTTGTTCCCGTTGAATAGTGTATCAAAGTATGACCTCCACCTCTCTTTTATCTCTCCGTCGTCCATTAATATCCTCTGATCAACATCCTTCACACACTTAACTTTTGCAATATCTTGAGTTCTGCGATCACGAAGACGAGCAAGTCTATAAATATCTAGTTCTCCTTCTTTAGAGTCCAACTTTTCATACAACTCCTTGTTCACTTTCCTTCGTGCTTCCCTTACGACTTTCTTTGCTTGTCTTTTAGCCTCCATGTATGCTTCTATGTTCTCATCACTCCAATTTGTCCCCAACTTTTTGTAGCAATCTCTTTTATTCCTTATGGCTTGTTTCACCTCATCATTCCACCAAGATGTGTCCTTTTTAGGTGGCCGACATCCTTTAGATTCTCCAAGTACCTCCTTTGCCACTTTGTTAATGGTCAACTCCATGGATAACCACACATCATCCACCTGTGTTTCATTATCAATACGCCATACATCTTCACCGACCATTTTGTGTGTAAAGCTTTGTTGAAGATCTCCCTCTAGCCTCCACCACTTTATCTTTGGCTCCACTTGTTGTTTAACTTGTCTTCTATGGTTCTTACCTCGAAAGTCAAGCACAAGCAACCTATGTTGAGTGACAACACTCTCACATGGAATAACCTTACAATCAGTGTAGCTAGTTCTCCCAGTGGTCCGTACTAAGTAGTCAATTTGGGTACTATTAGCTCCACTTTTATAGGTTACAAGGTGAGAGTCTCTTTTCTTAAACTAAGTGTTCATTATAGCCAACTCATACGTCAAGGCAAAATCCAAAATGTTCTTTCCCGCCTCATTCCTAGTGCCAAAACCATGTCCGCCATGAATATTCTCAAAGTCATCACGACTCGAGCCCACATGCCCGTTGAGGTCACCTCCTATGATCAACTTCTCTCCCCTTGGCACTCGTCGCACCACGTCTTCAAGATCTTCCCAGAACTGTTGAGTTGTAGATGCATCCAATCCCACTTGTGGTGCATAGGCACTTACCACAGACACAATCTCACCTCTTATCACCAATTTAATGCTCATGATGCGATCGTTCTTCCTGAAGACTTCTACCACATCCTCAACATAGTCACACGCCACAATAATGCCTACCCCATTTCTAGTCTGATCTCTCCCCGAATACCACAACTTAAAACCTCCAGGATTAATCTCGCGTGCTTTTTGTCCAACCCATTTAGTTTCTTGCACACACATAATGCTGATATTCCTTCTGCTCATAACCTCGACTACCTCGGAAGATTTCCCTGTAAGAGACCCAACATTCCATGTCCCAAAACGCAATCTAGCATTCCACCTTATGTTCTTAGCCCCATCTCGGACCCCACCATGCCCTTGCATATTTGACATCATCCCCGGGCAATGGGATGACGCGCCGCTTCTGGGCGGCGACCTAGCAACCTTAGCATTCTTATCACCACACCCAGGTCTATCAAGTGTAGCGCACCCTTGCATATTTGACACCACCCCCAGGCGAAAGGATGACGCGTCACTTACGGGTGACGACCTAGCATTAGCGATTTTCATATTTCGATTCATGTCATGTGATGTGACTAGGTGATACTGTTGGCCGTCACACGCCTACCACAGCACCCTCCCCCTCCTCCTTTATCCTGGCTTGGGACATGCGTGATACCAAAAAAATGATATCATGGCGGAGTTTGCATTTGATTAACTATTAATATTAATTACTATGAAGATCGACTAATCAACATGAATGACAAAATGGAAACTGGGATGGAAGATTTCTATCTGAAGGCCATTCCTATGGAGATCAAATCTCATGTTCCTGTATAGTGGCTGCAACCTTAACTCTTTGATATATGGGAACAAGTGGGAACTGGGAACTGCTCGATAATTATTACACCCAGCTTGGTTGGTTCTTGAAGGGAAAATGTTTTTTTGTAAACTAAACCTAACCTCTCACCAAAACTGCAGCATGAGACATGAATCAGCAGCTAGCACTTCAAGCTAATGGGCGTAAGAATAATCAGGGGCAGATCCGGAAACCCAAATCGGACTAGGCTGAAGATTAATAATTATACCACACTTGAACATTAGTGGGGTGGACTAAAATTGAAAATGAAAAATTACCCTGTGCTTCAGCCCACCATAATCCTAAAGTAGATCCTCCCTAGGAATAATCATTGAGAAGAAATTACTCGTGTTTTGATTTCACATGTTTCTTATTTTTCTTGTCTCCAACTGTAGTAGAATCTCCATAAGCTGCTTGGCAAGCGTGAATGACAGCACGAATATGTGGATCTTCTTTTGGGATTTCACGCAATAGTTTTGCTGCAGATTTTCGAGAACCCAATGCCAAAACAGCTTGGTACATCCTGCATTAACATTGCATTTGTAAATTACAACTTTGAATGGGTTTTAAGATTTAACAATCCATATTTTGCCAAGTACTTTGTGGTCCTGATCGAATCAATGCTGATCTCCCAAAGAGAATGTCCTGATTTGAGTCACATCCCAATCAAGGATTTTGCATTATCATGAGCATATATTATATAATAGATTTAAAATGTTTTCTAAAAAAATTCATATTTCATCCCACACCTGACTGTGTTGTCCTGTATGAAATACATATTGATTCTACATAATAAAAAGATGTCTATTTTCTTCATTTTCCCTCAAGTAATAATATTCCCTCCGTTCTTTATTTGTTGTCCCTTGTTTTTTTTGGGATGCTTTTTATTATTTGTCTCTCTTTTCCTTTTTAGTAAGTTTTTATTATCAAAATACTTTTATAAAAAAATCATATTTCATCCCACACTTGACTGTGTTGTCCTGTATGAAATACATATTGATTATACATAATAAAAAGATGTCTATTTTCTTCATTTTTTCCTCAAGTAATAATATTCCCTCCGTTCTTTATTTGTTGTCCCTTATTCTTTTTGGGATGCTTTTTATTATTTGTCCCTCTTTTCCTTTTAAGTAAGTTTGTACTATCAAAATACTTTTATACCCTCATTTTTACCATTAGTTTTTTTTTTACTTTTTACAAATTACTCTTTCCTACGTTTATACTACTATTATATTCCTCTTCTCAATATATTCTTTCCTACTTCATTACTTTCCTCTTCTTATATATTTTCTTTCCTACTTTTCATATACCCTACACTCTCTATATTACCCCTACAATTTTTTTCTTAAAACCCGTGAAATACCTAAGGGGTCAGTTAATAAAGAACGGAGGTAGTATTAATAAACTACTAATATAAAAAAGATGGACAAAAAATGACTTCTGATCTGCAATGGCCGTAGTGACATTTTTTTGTTTTGAGGTTCATTTAAGTAATTTTATAGGGAAAACCCCCTAATAATAACCAAAAAGATCAATTGAAGTTCATTTGATAAACAGACTTAGATTGCAAGTTCTTGTACCCACTTATGGATCAATCTACTTGAGAGGGTGCAGTTTATTTACCTCAGATAACTCAGAGAATTGTAAACAATACCAGCTTCTCGATACTCCCTCCAAATCTTGGAACATGTCAGTGGATCTCTGGCAATTACACAAGCATGTAAGAGGAAATCAAGGCATTTTCGAGACGGACGAAGACCAAAGTCCTTTTTAATAGCTTGAAGCAAACTCCAGCCAAAATGCAAGGTTGTTGGTTCCTTCTCCAAGAAGCGGAAGAAAACCTACTCCATCACAACAAAAGGATATATTAGTTAGTGTCTTGGGTACCGTTTGACCAATCCATTAAAGATATTAATTCACTTCATCATTAAGTTTATCAGATAATAACAAAGAGATGAGTTGAACCTCATCAAAAAGAAACTCCAGGGTCATCTCATCATTGCTAAATACATCCTTAAGTTTCCTGAGCAACTCAATCGCAGATCTGGAAACCAAAATTGGAAACATAACAAGATATGTATAGCAAGCTCAACCCTACTACAACATCAATACTAAAAAGAGCTAACATATGTTCCAATAAATAAATAAATCAATAAATAAAACTTGAGAGAAAGGAATACATATTCAGATGTTCTTAAAATATAAAACATGCTAGAAAAGAAACAAACAAAAATAAAATAAAATAAAATATAATAAAAGAACATGTTAGGAGAAGATATAAAACAGAAGAAAAAGATAGAAGAAGATGAAAACTGAAAGAAGAAATATAATGATAAGGAGGTTACTTCTTAAAAAAATGGCAATTTCACCTCTGTCTGCCAATCCTTTTTTTCTTCCTTTGCAGCCGTACACCATTTATGGGGAGTGTGAGTCGAACGCATTACTATAGTTTCGGTATACTCTTTAATACACAGACTGAGAAGGGTTTATGTTGCTTTGCCCTATTATTTGGATAGACTATCTTATTATGAATATGGGTTTATTTAAAATAGGCCCTAATCTTAAAATAAAAAAGAAAATAAACGCTGAGAAGCCTTCCCTAGCCCAGCTACGACAGGCGTGCGCTTTCGCGCCTCTGGGCTTCTTGCGCTGAGGCATATCATTGCGCCTGGAGAATATTAACGCGCTACCCATGTTCAGCATCTCGCGTGGTGCGCTTAAGCCAGATGAACGCTTTTGACTACACTGATTGTTATGTCATTATTGTTATCAAGGTGGCATTCTCATTGGAGGCTTTCAGCAACTTGTTGGAGGGCGGCGGCTTCACCGGAGGATGGCGGCGGGCTGCAGGGTGGATGAGGCATAGTCCGTAGGATGTGTCCAGTGCTTACACACAAGGCACCGGCGAACTAGAGCTTGGGAGCCCGGGAAACTTCACTTTATTTCATCAAGGGAAATTTGATCATGTTAATACATTTTTAGTCTCATAAAACATAGAAGTCCTATTTAGGGAATTCTCTCTTCTTGTAGTCCTATTTAGAGAATTCTCTCTTCCATTATTAATCTAGGACATATGTTCAATATAAATTTTCACAAAAAAATATAACATAAAATAGGGAACAATCTGTAACGTAATGCAAGTGTAGCAGATGTTCAATAACAAAGATTGAAAGATTCGTTAAAGAAGAAGTTTACTACTTTATACTACTTTATATTACGTATAAAATAGTTTACACTACAAAACACATAGTACATGATCATCATCATCATTACACCAGTGCCGCAAAGGCTCCTACCTACGGTGAGGTAAGGGGGGTCGGATGTACGCAGTCTTATCCCTGCACAAAAGCAGGGAGAGATTGTTTCCGAATGACCCATAGTGAAAAACGCGTCGAAAATTGCATGGACTGACTGCTTCTTAATAACAGTTTAGTGAACCATTTTGCTTTATTCCATCATATTCACAAGCCAAAAAAATAGTGAGTCTTTGGCTCACTATGACGGTGATCTGGCCGACGGCTTTATATTTACAACTAATTATCTTCTAGAAGACTAAAACTCAATATTCCGGGTGAGTTGGGTCGGCGACAACCATGACGACTTGTGCAGGGGCGGAGTAAGGGCATTGGGCCGGTACAAAGAATACTTTTGGAAAAAAAATTACACAGAATATTTTACACTAAAAATATAGGCTTTTTTAAAATGTGGGGTGGGCCGAGGCCAGGGTCCTCCCCCCTAGCTACGCCCCTGGACTTGTGGCCTTGTGGGCGCATAATAGACGCTGAGTTACGCCTTGGCAGCTTCAGGCAAATCGATTGAACATGGTACCACTCCTCTACAGCCAGGATGACTAGGCGGTGCCATTAGAACAATGCAGCAGTCAACAGGCAAAGTTCAAAATTTATCAACGAGATAAATGGCATCTAGAAAGAGTAAAGAATTGAACCTTAAATATTCATGCCGAACACAATATGCTACAACCTTGAAACAAGCTCTAACCCATTGATCTTGGTCATCTAATCCATCAAGCAGTTGAATTAGTCTACTCAATTCCCCGTCAGACTGCAGATGATCCTGGAGGGTTGCTAAGAGCGGTTAGCGATCAAGGTTTCTCCAGAAGAAAAAGGGTACAGCATAAGACTTACAATAAGTGAAAAAACTGCTCTAGGCTCCAGATTGCATTTATCCTGTTTAATCCTTTCGTACATTTCAAGGGCATCAGATACGTGTCCATGCACTGCAAGAGCTGAAACGAGTACACTTTTTACTTCATTCAAGTTCTTTATGGGTATCCCTTTGTCAAATATTACCTACACTCCATACATTTATTGTATTGATTAGCTCATATCTGGAACCAAAGCTCAAATTATATGCTAAAAGATCTCTGGTTATATTGACTCAAAAGGGTATACAAGTAGAATACCTGCTTAGCCTTTTCAAACTGTCCACAGGATACATATGCATTTATAAGTGCCATATAAACATGTCTTGTTACAGGAAGCCCAGAAAACTGCATTTCTTTAAAACACTGCAAAACCATCAAACTGAAAATTCAGTATGACTTTCCACATCAGTCAAAAACAAAAACATTTTCACGAATATAAGTATCTATGAATCAAGAGCTAAAAATTATTGTAGGTTTTAGGAATAAAACTTCCTTGATATTATTGAGCCATCCGGCTATGGTATATATACATGTTACAGATAAAATCAAGTTGTTACAGATCCTAAAAAATAGGATCTATCTATTCTATCTATTCTGTGAGCTTATCTACTAATTAGAGAGTCCTATCTACTCTAATTCTTATCTACACAGTTCCGGATGTACAAGTAATTAAAATAACAAGAATATGTTACATTTTTCTACACTCCCCCTCAAGTTGGTAAGTATATATCATACATTCCCAACTTGCTTATAAGTAGCTCAAATATAGGTCTAAATAACCCTTTGGTGAAGATATCAGCTGTTTGATCTTTAGTGGATACAAATGGTGTACAAATGATTCCAGCTTCAATCTTCTCTTTAATGAAATGTCTGTCCACTTCAATGTGCTTAGTTCTATCATGTAGCACAGGGTTATGAGCAATGCTTATAGCAGCTTTATTATCACAATATAACTTCATAGGCAGCTCAATCTCCATCTTTAGTTCTGTGATTACTCGTTTGATCCAGAGTAACTCACATATTCCATTAGCCATTGCTCTGAATTCTGATTCTGCACTACTCCTAGCAACCACATTTTGTTTCTTACTTCTCCAGGTTACTAGATTTCCCCATACATAGGTGCAGTATCCAGAGGTAGATCTCCTATCAGAAATTGAGCCAGCATAATCCGCATCAGTAAAAGCTTCAAGTTTCCTATTGTTTCCCTTTTTGAAAAACAATCCTTTCCCTGGACAGCTCTTCAGGTATCTTAGAATCCTGTAAGTAGCATCAAGATGTTCTTGGAAAGGATGATGCATAAACTGACTTACCATGCTTACTGCAAATGCAATATCTGGTCTAGTGTGTGCCAGATATATTAATTTTCCTACCAATCTTTGATATTGGTGAATATCAACTGGATTTCCCTCCTTGATATCTCCCAATTTCTGACTTGGGTCAATTGGAGTGTCTGCTGGTTTGCAGGCACTCATTCCAGTTTCCTGTAGAAGATCTAAAACATATTTCCTTTGTGAGACAACAATACCCTTCTTTGATCTAGCTATCTCCATTCCTAGGAAAAAATTTAAATTTCCTAGGTCTTTAATCTCAAATTCATGAGCAAGTTTGTCTTTCAATCTTTTAGTCTCTGTGTGATAATTTCCTGTGAGGATAATATCATCTACATAGACAATTAAGATTGCAATCTCCCCCTTACATGAAAAATTCATGAATAAAGTATGGTCAGCTTGAGCTTGATTAAATCCTTGCTTTTTTATGAACTTTGTGAATCTGTCAAACCAGGCTCTTGGAGACTGTTTAAGTCCATATAAAGCCTTCTCTAATCTGCAAACCTTTAACCCAAACTTATTTTCAAACCCAGGTGGAGGTTCCATGTACACTTCTTCTTCAAGTTTCCCATTTAAAAAAGCATTCTTTACATCCAGTTGTTGTAATGGCCAGTCTAAATTGGCAGCAAGAGATAAAAGAATTCTTACAGTGTTCAACTTTGCAACTGGTGCAAAGGTTTCTTTGTAATCAATTCCATAGGTCTGTGTGTACCCCTTGGCAACTAGTCTTGCCTTATCTCTCCAAACTTCCATCTGCCTTAAACTTGGGGTTGAAAATCCACCTGCAACCAACTGTAGGTTTATTTTTAGGTAACTCTACAAGCTTCCATTTCTGATTCTTTTCAAGAGCCTCCATCTCCTCCAAAACAGCTCTCTTCCACTCAGGTTTAGATAGGGCATCCTGTATGGTTGTAGGAATAGAAATAGAAGAGATGCTGGAAGTAAAGGCTGCAAAGTCTGATGTTAATTTAGAATAAGAAACATAGTTTGAGATGGGGTATTTAACACATGTTCTTCTCTCTTTTCTGAGAGCAATAGGAAGGTCAAAGTTGCTAGAAGTATTACCTTTTTCACTTCCTGACATTGAGGCAGAATCATGGTCAGTTGTAGGTTTTTGAACTTCCTCTATTCTTTGATTTCTAACCCTTCTCTCATAAGTTTTCTCAAAGAACTGACTTGTCTGTTGATCCTTTTCAATTGGTTCAGTTGGATTTACTTCATTATTTTTAATTCCTTGATCATTTTCAGGTGTACTGATATTTGAAAAACCATTATCATCCTGATTAATATCAAGAAAATTAAAACTTTCATGAATATTTGGCATTATAGGAACATCTTCACTTAATTTCTCCCCCTGAAGATGAGAATCAAAAAAAGGTTGTTCTTCCATAAAAATAATATCCATAGTAACAACCATTGTTTTGGTTGTAGGATCAAAACATTTATACCCTTTTTGAGTGGCAGAAACACCTAGAAACACACATTTTTTCCCTCTAGGATCAAACTTACTTGCAGATTTATCTGGATTTTTGATAAACACTGTGCAACCAAAAATTTTTAAAGGAAGGGTGTTTACCAATCTATTTGTAGGAAAGAAGTGTTGTAGTAAACTAATAGGACTTTTAAATCCTAAAATTTTGGATGGCATGCGATTAATTAAATAAGTTGCATGTAACACTGCTTCTCCCCAAAAATATTTTGGTATGTTTGTTGAAAACATGATTGCACGAGTGACTTCAAGTAAATGTCTATTTTTTCTTTCTGCAAGTCCATTTTGAGCTGGTGTATTGACACAAGAGCTTTGATGAATAATGCCTTTTTCAGAAAAAAAGTTGTTTAAAGTTTGAGAAAAATATTCACGGCCATTATCACTTCTTACCATTTTAATTTTGGTATTGAATTGAGTTTGGACCATAGCATAAAATGTTCTAAATATTTTCTCAACTTCAGATTTTTCTTTGATTAAAAATACCCATGTGACACGAGTATGATCATCAATAATAGTTACAAACCATCTCTTTCCCTTTAAAGTTGGTATTCTAGATGGGCCCCAAATATCACTATGTACCAAGGTAAAAGGGCTAGTAGGTTTATAACTGTGGGGTAAATAGGTGTTTCTGTGATGTTTTGCAAGAGCACACATATCACAATTAAACAAAGCAGCATCTTTATTAAAAAATAATTGAGGAAACATCTTTTTTAAATAATAGAAACTAGGATGTCCTAGTCTATAATGAAGTAAATACAACTCTTTATTGTTTGAAAAAGAAACAGTTTGCAAACAAGCATTTCTTAGACCTTTTTTATTAGATTGAGTTTCTCCATCAAAGATATAGAGTCCATCCTCCTCCTTAGCACTGCCAATCATCTTCCCCGATGCTAGGTCCTGAAAAATGCAATGAGAGGGATAAAAAATGACACAACATTGTAGATCTTTAGTTATTTTACTAACTGAAGTAAGATTGCAGGATAGATTAGGGACATGAAGGACTTTGGATAGATTCAGTGATGAAGAAATACTAATATTTCCCATCCCTGCAATGGTTGATAGAGAACCATCTGCAACCTTAACCTTTTTATCTCCTGCACTAGGTTTATATGAAGAAAAAAGGTTTGAAATAGAAGTCATGTGATCAGTAGCCCCTGAGTCAATAATCCAGGTATTTTTAGATTTCCCAGAACAAAAAAATGATGAATAGGTACCATTTTGGGCATAAGAGCAAGAGGAAGATTTTGGTTTGGATTCTTTCTGGGAATTTTGGGTTTTCTGGGTATTAAGGAAGTTAAGAAGTTGCCCTATCTGCTCCTGAGTGAATGAAAGTTGATTGAACTTGACTTGTGGTTCATGTTGAGTCTCAGTCACAGTTGTTTGTAGGGCTTTCTCAGTTTTTTTCTTTCCTGCCCCTGGTGGTTTGCCATGAATTTTCCAACAAGTCTCCCTAGTGTGCCATAATTTCTTGCAATGATCACACCAGGGTTTCTTCTTGTCATCACTCCTAGCCACCATTGTTGAAGAGTCCCCAGATTCCTCATTATGTACTGGAGTGCTGTACATAACCTTCTTCCTGCTATCCTCCATCCTGATTTCAGAAAATACCTCCCTGATAGAGGGTAGAGGTTTTTTTCCAAGTATCCTCCCCTTAATTTCATCTAGGTCCCTATTGATCCCTGCTAGAAACATATAGACCCTATCATTCTCTTCTCTTTTCTTATGTCTGGCCAGATCCTTAGCACTCTCCCACTCTTCATCACCATAGCATTGATCTAATTCTTGCCACAGAGATACCATTTCATTGTAGTATGAAATAATATCCCTATTTCCTTGTTTAGATTGCCACAGTTTGGTTTTGAGTTCAAAAATTTGAGAAGAGTTCTCAAGATCTGAATAAGTTTCCTTAATAGAATTCCATACCTCCTTTGCAGTTTTCATAAACATATGAGGTTTGGCAATTAAGGGCTCCATGGAGTTGAGAAGCCAAGCTGTTATGAGTGAATTCTCTGACCTCCATGTACTGTACCCTTCTTCTGCAGGTAGTTTTGGTTGGATTTCTCCTGTGATGTAACCCAGCTTTCCCCTCCCATCAATTGCAAGTCTGACAGATTGAGACCACTCCAGATAGTTTGTTCCATTCAATCTATGACTAGTAATTATCATAGATGAATGAATAGGAGACTGATAATTTGTCATAGAGCTAATTTGGGAGTTAGGGTTGATAGTGTGTGATGAATCAGCCTCACTGGTTTCTACCATGGTTTAAACCGAGGCTCTGATACCATGTAGGTTTTAGGAATAAAACTTCCTTGATATTATTGAGCCATCCGGCTATGGTATATATACATGTTACAGATAAAATCAAGTTGTTACAGATCCTAAAAAATAGGATCTATCTATTCTATCTATTCTGTGAGCTTATCTACTAATTAGAGAGTCCTATCTACTCTAATTCTTATCTACACAGTTCCGGATGTACAAGTAATTAAAATAACACGAATATGTTACATTTTTCTACAATTATTAATGCTCTACAATCTTATAAAAAATAATAGAAAGTTACACAAATCATTTTGAGATAATCAGAGCGAATCTTAATATATATATACTCTAATTTCAGATAACTCTAATAAACGTTGAAACTCGGGAAAATCTTTACTAATGGTTAAAATAAGTCAGTGGGCTGCATTCCAAAATTATAAGGCTTAAGTTGAAAACCCTTTAATTCTACTTGCTGACTTATTATGCCCTCACTTGTATTAAATGCCAGCAACCACCTCTGGCATTCATTCTACAGCCATTTTTGGTACCACAGCACATATGAGTGGATACTTCAATGGATTGTGGAAGGAATTTGAAGGTGCGAGTAAAATCCATCATCCTGGTTGTGGTGGATCGATTGTCTTAACTCCAAAAATGACTAGTTCATTCCCCTGGTTCATCCTTGCACAGCAGCCTCAGTAGCAACAGTGTTGTCTATGGAAATATCTTTCACTTAAACGGTTTACTAGATTCCTTCCATGTACATGAAAGTTTCATCCGTTCCATCATGAAGAAAATGTTACAGCTGAGGTGCACTCAATTTGGAATTGTCTTCAGCATAGTGGCCTACCACCCATAAACGAAGGTTACTGATCAGATGTTGGAAATGTTCATACTTTGTCTCACGAGCAATCTTTCCTATCAGTGGGCACGTCAGTTGCCATGGAGAAATTATGCATCTTTCACATCACGCTTGGGGACACTCCATTTTTCTTGGTGGGTGGTCCTGATACGCCTCGGTTACTTTCCTTCTCTCCAAGGAACAACTAATCTGAGCACCATAGACGATGTATTGATGGAATACAGGCCCAACAATACAGGAAGGTTTAGTGTGACAAAAACCTTCGTGATTTCAAAATTGAGGTCAAAAATGGACTTGTCCATATTGGCAGCGTTGTCAATCGCCCACAACAAACACAACACGCTCCATCCAATATACAATTCTCACTTTTAGGTTACTACTTGCACAAGTTTTAAAATCGCGTCAAGGATCACGACCTACAGCAATGGGAGCCTCACCGCTGCATAAAATGCTACACAACAGCTTGAACCAGGCACGTTTCAATATCTGGTCTGGTGGGCACACGAGTCAGACAGATGCAACCTGGTAGCAAGGCACCCTTTTGGGATGGTTGCCCAAAGTTCAAACTTGAGGACAAGCTCTCCCCTGAGGAGGGAGTAATGGTATGGACCCTTCTCTCGGCAAGTAGTATATGGCTATATCCACAACTACCCCACAAGATTCCTAGAGCTTTCTATATATTTATAATACACCTAGCTTTTTACTTTTTTACTTAGATTAGAACTAGTGTAGACGTGGGATTACTACTAGCCTTCTTTTCCTATATTGTATCTATAACGCACGCATATAGACAGACATGCATGCACATCTTGACATGATCTTTCTTCCATTGACACAAGATCCAGGTAGTGAAAAAGTTCCTGACTTCCTTCACCACCAAACATAATAGTTTCCCAAGACTCAAGATCTATGAAAACCGAACACGCAAAACTTTTAAACAATTTTACAAAATCCTATTAGTTCCAAGAAGAATGATGTTTTGCAACCTTAATGATATCATCTTCACAATTGCAGCGGCTTATAAGACAGGAAAATGTGAGACTGTCAGGTTTCACTCCTGCATCCTCCATTTGTTTGAGAACCATAAGACCACCATGAATGTTTTTCTGCATTGAATTGAGTTTGGTGAAGAAAAAATGCATAATAGCAAGATAATCATCAACCATGATCTGGCAACAGCTAGTCTAAATTTACTGACACTCTATAATCAGCTCACTGGTTTAAAAATTTCCTCCAGCGAGCATTAAAAATATCATCACCCTAAGAATGTAAACATGATTTATGTGTCAAAGAATGCAATAGCATGCCCCATCCAACGGTCCACAATATAGTACCAGTGAATCTCCAGAATTGTGAAGGACTAGACTCTAGAATGGAAAATTAAATTGCGCAATTTAGGTCTAGAACACCCTAAATGCTCAATTTTGTGACGTCATGTTGCAAATGAATGCACGTCTCCATCCAAGCTAGCTACCTTTTGCCACCTCATCCACAAATGACAAATGTCACATAAGCTATCATGGAGATCTATTTCAAAAATGACAAATCAGAAGAATAGAATCTCAAATTCTCAATAAAATGAAGTAACAAGGCCACCTCATGGAAATAGCCAATCATTATAGCATTATACATGCCAGATGTAGGAGTCAACTTAAATTTCTCCAGATCACTGATTAAGTTATATGCACCCGCAAACTGCATGAAAGAAACATGAATTGCATTTGTCAGTGCTTCTAAGTTAGGACTCATAAGTGTGTAGCACAAGCTATTGATGTGACAAGAGGGACTCACATCTTTCATTTTTACACTCAAGATTATCATCTTCCTGAAGGTCTCACAGTTTGGCTTTAAATCATGGCAACTTATTATTGAATGCATCCGGCGAACCTTTTTAAACACAGAAGAACAGATCTTCACATATACAGAAAAAAGTCAGGAAATAAACAAATAGCATCTTATCATCTTGGTGCGCTGCTTACAGTTGACAACGGCGCAAAGCACAGATGGACTAGAACACTAATTTATATTGAAAACATTATAAAAGCACAACAACATTGGTAAAAAAACCTTTTGCGAATATGCTATTGATTAAGGTTAGTTATATCAAACAAACAAACAAAATAATGTGTAAAAAAACAGATAATAGTAATAACTGCAAATGGAGCTTCATGTGACTTCAAAATGAATACAGTAAAAGTGTGTGGCTTCATTGAGCACCACCAGCGAGAAAATATTATTACTATTACTGTTATTGACTTATTGTTTTTATAGACTTATAGTAATAGTTTAATATTGAAGTGTTGGTTTCTGATAGGGATACGTCTGTAAAGAATAAAAATGATAAGTACTTTGCGAGAGTCTATTCTAGAAGAGGAAAGAATAACAGTTAGATGTTAGTTAATATGCTAGCAAGTTCTTTGGGACTCGTTGCACTTGCTTTCACCATTAATGAAGCTTGAGATTGTTTCTTGAATACTATTTTCATCTTTTCTGTAATCTTACCTACCAGTGAGAGTCCTATCAGTGGTATCAAAGCACGTCGATCACTGTGGATGGTCTTGACGCGTGCTAAGATGGATCTACCAATGAATGAATTGGAGACAAATCAGCATCAGACAACGGCGATCTTGGCGGCTATGCAGGCGACTCTCGCTAACCTGGAAAACATAGTCCAGAGTCGATCGAGGAGCAGGTCGCATGCGTCGCACACATCGCATCGCACCTCGCATCATCAACATATGCGACATTCAGCTAGTCCAGATGGATCAGAAGGTAAATCCGATTACTCACCTCCACACCGTAATCGCCATCATCATAGGGAGCATGGAAATTGCCATCAAACTGGAAGAAAGGTTGACTTACCTTTATTCAATGGTGATGATGCATATGGTTGGCTAGTTAGAATGGATCGCTATTTCAGACTCAACAATAGAAATGAAGAACAAAAAATTGAAGTAGCTGTGGTAGCCATGGAAGATAGAGCGCTGAGTCGGTTCCAGTGGTGGGAAAACCAAGCGTGTGAGAAGAATTGGGAATCACTAAAAAAGCGTTGACTCGTCGCTTCCAACCTGAACTGGTACAAAATCCCTTGGGTCCTTTATTAAGTCTGAAACAAAAAGGATCTGTGAAGGAGTTTAGAGAATAATTTGAGATGGCTATGGCAACTTGGACAGGGAGGTACTTAAAGGCATATTCCTCAATGGCCTGAAGAAAGATATAAGAGCTGAATTGAAGCTCTACAATGCAAGAAACTTGGCTGAAATCATGGACAAAGCACTGCTAATTGAAGATAAAAATACTGAAGTTCTGTCCACAAGAAGTAAAGAAGGAAAAAGAAACTGGCAATAAAAATGGCAGGAAGAAACAGTTATCAAAAATGAGGAGAAGGTAGTAGAGGGAAAGGTAACCAGATCATTCCTAACTATTCAGGAAGGAACTCAGTTGAGTACAAAAATGTTGAGGGTATAACAGCCTCTAACCAGAAGAAGATGGGCCCCAGATTAACCCAAGGAGAATTACAAGAGAGAAGTAGAAAAGGACTGTGTTTCAAATGTGGGGAAAATTGGAACAGAGGGCATGTTTGCAAAATGAAGAATTTCAAAATGGTTCTTATGGAGCAATCTGAAAGAGAGGAAGATTCTGATGCAGTTTTCAGTGACGCAGATGAGGGAGAAGAAATTCCTATGGAGTCAAAAGCTATGCAACTATCTCTGCTGAGTAGAGAAGGAATACCTACTATGAGGACATTCAAAGTAAGGAGAAGTTTGAAATGGCCAGCAGGAGAACAACAGGTGAATGTTCTCATTGATAGTGGTGCTACCCACAACTTTATAGCCCAGGAGTTTGTGGACAGATGGAGAATCCCTTTCACCACAATTATAGGATATAAAGTCCGTATTGGGAATGGAGAATATATCCCTAACAGTGGCAGATGTGTGGGAATGATATCAAGGATGCAAGGAACTGAAATTCAACAGACCTTTTATATCCTGGAGTTAAGAGGGACTGATATTGTTACGGGAATAGAATAGCTAACTGGTTTAGGGGATATGGAGGTGAACGTCCAAAACCAGACTATTAAATGGAGGATGCAGGAACAGAATTACACAATAAAAGGAGATGTTTCCTTGAATAAAACGGAAGTCACCCTAAAAACCATGACACATATTTTACAACATTCTGGAGATGGATATTTGTTGTATTGTGAAGGACATGGTACTGAGCAAGACCAGAACGAAGTACAGGATGATGTTTGGGCCGAAGTTGTGAAAGAATTTCCAGAAGTCTTCAAATCTCAACTGGATCCACCACCTGTAAGATCCTGTGATCATGCCATTAATATCACAGAAGGAGCCAGCATTCCTAATATTAGGCCCTACAGATATTCTTATGATCAAAATAGATGAAATTGAGAGAAACATTAAAGAAATGTTCAGTTCAGGGATAATAAAACACAGTAATAGACCCTATAGCAGTCCAGTGTTATTGGCTAAGAAGAAAGATGGTGGTTGGAGATTTTGTGGAGATCATAGAGCTTTGAATAAAATAACAGTTCTTGACAAGTTCCTTATCCCAGTTATTGAAGAACTTTTGGATGAACTAGGGGGGTCTAAGATGTTTTCAAAGCTGGATTTAAAATCAGGTTACCACCAGATTAGAATGAAGGAGTGATGCTCATAAGACTGCCTTTAGGACTCATGAAGAGCACTTTGAGTACTTAGTCATGCCTTTTGGATTGACAAATGCTCCCTCAACCTTCCAAGCCTTAATGAATGAAGTCCTGAGACCTTTCTTAAGAAAATTTACTTTAATGTTCTTTGATGATATTTTGCTCTATAGTAAATCTAAAGGAACATATGGAGCATCTAAGAAAGGTATTACAAGCCCTAAAGGAAAATAAATTGGTAGCTAACTGGAAGAAGTGCTCTTTTGGCCAGAATCAATTGACATACTTCGGGCCACATTATTTCTGAGCATGGAGTATCTGTAGATCCTAGCAAAATAGAAGCAATGGTGAATTGGGCTGAACCTAAGGATGTTAAAGGGCTGAGAGGGTTTCTGGGATTAACCGGGTACAATAGAAGGTTTGTGAGGGGATACAGTAGAATTGCTGCTCCACTAACACAACTTCTAAAGAAAGACAACTTCCATTGGGACCTCAAAGCTAGCCAGGCATTTGCAGAATTAAAACAAGCCATGATTTCCCTACCAGTTCTAATGAATCCAGATTTCAGTAAGATGTTCGTAGTGGAAACAGATGCTTCTGGGAAAGGGTTGGGAGTTGTATTAATGCAAGAGGGCAGACCGGTTGCCTTTATGAGTAAGGAGTTATCTGTGACAAATCAAACTAAATCTGTGTATGAAAACGAGTTCATGGCTAGAGTATTAGCCATCCAGAAATGGAGGCCCTACTTATTGGGGAGGAAGTTTCAGGTCCATACTGATCAGAGAAGTTTGAAATACCTCACTGAACAGAAGATTATGGGGGAAGAACATCAAAAGTGGATAGCCAAAGTTGCTGGGGTACAACTTTACTATCAAATACAAACCAGGCATTGAGAATAAGGTTGCAGATGCTCTCTCAAGGAAGCCTACTTTACAATCATTATCAATAGTAACCTGACACGAATGGGAAGGACTAGAAGAAGAGTTGGAGAGGGATCAAGAAGGGTTTACTTTACTATAAGGGCACATTAGTGTTACATAAGGATTCCAAGAGAATAGATACCATCCTTAAGGAGTACCATGACTCTGCTATTGGAGGGCATTCTAGTTATTTCAGAACCATGAAGAGGATCTCCAATCTTTTCTACTAGTCAGGGATGAGATCAGACATCAAAAACTATGTCCAAGGGTGTGATGTCTGCCAAAGGAATTAAGTATCAAGCCCTTAAGCCTGCAGGACTATTACAGTCAAGTGTGGGCTGACATCAGCATGGACTTTATAGGAGGGTTACCTAAATCCCAGGGTAAGGACACCATTCTAGTGGTTGTGGACAGATTAACCAAGTTTGCTCATGTTTTGCCACTATCTCACCCTTTTAATGCTAAAGTAGTGGCAGAAATATTCATCCAAGAGGTTGTAAAGCTACATGGGTTTCCTAAATCAATTGTAAGTGACAGAGATAGTTTATTCCTAAATTCATTTTGGTCTGAGCTATTCAAATTAGCAGGAACACAATTGAAGTATAGCAAATCCTATCACCACAAACTGAAGTTGTCAACAGATGCTTAGAAACAATGGAAGAAAGCCTAAACAGTGGGTTAAGTGGTTACCAACTTACCATGGGCTGAGTTCTGGTACAATACAAACTACCACATATCCCTAAAGAATACCCCATACCAAGCATTATATGGACAAGAGCCTCCTACCATTATCAAAGGGGATGTCAGTTTGACTGCAGTAGCAAATGTTTCAAGGTTAACAGCTGAAAGAAATAGGATGATAAAAGAATTGAAGGATAATCTGGTTAAAGCTCAGAACCAGATGAAACAACAAGCAAACAAACACAGGAGGGAAGTATCCTTGGAGGTGGGAGATTGATAGGGACCTAGATAGTGATAGTAATAAAAATAGTGTAATAAAAGAGGTTTAGGCCCTGTTACTAAATAGCAGTGGGCTGGCCCATAAGGAATATGATAAATACTATGTATGTGTTGGGGCGTAGAATAAGGTAGGCAGAAATTGGGTGGGTTTAGACTGGGAATTGGGAGACGGAGACTGCTCTAATTGTCTCAAATCTGTTCTTCTTCGTTATTTCTGTTCTCAAATCTGATGTTGGATCAATATATTACTATATTTCTACTGCGTTTGTTGAGGTCTCTAATATTGGCACTCTCGAACTTGCCTCTATACTTCTTCTATTACTTTTCTTCCATTGCTTTGG